TGGGCACAGCCGAGCTGGGGGATGCTGCGGGGGATGCTGCGGTGCAGCTGCGGCCCCGGCCCGGCTCCCCGGCCCATTTCCTCCCCGGTAAAGCCGCGGGCCCGGGGCAGCCTTTGGCCGCCCGTCCCCCGCCGCGCCGGCCGAGGTGTGACTTTTCCCAGCTCGTTAGGACAAGCTGCGGGATTTTTAACAGGCTCAGACCCTAATGAGCATCTGAATCCCATCAGCCGGGCTGGGGGTGCAGGGAGAGCCCCCCTGCCCCGCCGCTGCGCCAGCACATCCCTGGGCTCCCCTGCCCTCGCTCAGCCCAACCCGACCCTGAGCCCCCCAAAAGCGGCTGTGCCGGGGGTGCGGGCTGGGGACGCGGCTCAGGGGGCCAAGGGGGACCCCAGGGCCCGGCCCCGGGAATGTGGCGGCCTTGGGGTGACGCTGTGTGGGCCCACTGAGGAATTCAGAGCCAGTGTGGGAGGACACGGGGGGGGTCTCTGCCCCGGGGGTGGGGGGACATGGGGGGACATCCCAGTCAAGGGCGGGGGGCATGGGACAACATCTGAAATGGGGACAGGGGCCGTGGGGATATCTTCCCATCGAGGGTAAGGTGACACGGGGGGACACGCAGTCAAGGACAAGGGGACATTGCCATCGAGATCTGGGGACCCCGCGGTGGGACATCCGTACCGAGGGCTGGGGGACCCGAGGGGACACCCGACGGAGCAGGGGGAGCGGAGCGGGCGCCGGCCGGGGCAGGGGCGATGCCGCCCCCGCCGCCCCCGCCGCCCCCCGGCCGCTCCTTCGGCATCGCGGCGCTGCTGGGCCGGGACCCCCCCGGGGCTGCCCCCGGCCCCTCCGGTCTGCGCCTCACCGAGGAGCAGCTGAGCTCCACCCGCTCCTGCAGCCCCAGGGGCTGGGACTGTTCCCCAGGGGCTGGGACCGTCCCCAGGGAGCTGGGACCGTCCCCAGGGTCTGGGACTGTCCCCAGGGGCCGGGACTGTCCCCAGGGGCTGGGACTGTCCCCAGGGAGCTGGGACTGTCCCCAGGGGCTGGGACTGTCCCCAGGGGCTGGGACTGTCCCCAGGGAGCTGGAACTGTCCCCAGGGGCCGGGACTGTCCCCAGGGGCCGGGACTGTTCCCCAGGGGCTGGGACCGTCCCCAGGGAGCTGGGACCGTCCCCAGGGAGCTGGGACTGTCCCCAGGAGCCGGGACTGTTCCCCAGGGGCTGGGACTGTCCCCAGGGAGCTTCCCCAGGGGCTGGGACTGTCCCTCAGCACGGAGCCCCGGGCTGCTGATTGCACAGCTTTTCAGTTAAAAGGGTTGGTGGATGGCAGCTGGGGAAACTGAGGCACGGTGCGGCTGTCCGAGAGCCAGGAACGTGTGTCCCTCTTCAGGCTGGACTCCTCCAGCACTGGCAGGTGCCGTTCCTGGAGGCAGGGAGCAGTTTTCCATCTTGTCAGGGATGGACGGGACGCTGCCTGACCCAGGGGCCACGGAGCAGCCGGGTTGGGAAGCCGAGCTTGACCCTTCCCTAGGGGGAATTGCTGGAATCTCCATCCTTGGAAGCGTTCAGAAACACGCGTGTGGCACCTGGGGACGGGGTTGGTGCTGAGGGTGGCTTAATGGTTGGACTCAGTGACTTTCCAGACTTCATTCCATGACTCTGTGCTCCCAAGGTGAAAGTCTGGCTCCAAAACCGGAGGATCAATGGAACAGCAACGAGCCAAACTGGCCAAAATGGGTTTGGGCACCCCGCAGAGGAGCCCAGACTCGCAGAGCCACCACGAGGAGGACAAGGACTTCCCAGCAGAGTCAGGGCAGGGCCAGGAGGACACGTCCTTGTCCCCAGGGTCAGCCCCTGCACAGACTGACAGAGCTGCTGAGCCACCACGGGCCTGTGTGTGTATTACAGGATGTACCATGCTGGCAATATCCAATGTATACAGGAGATACAGGCACCCCGGGGCGTGGGGCTGAAATAAATTATTTATGCAACTCCTGGCTCGTCTGTGCAGGAATAACCCCCATTCCTGCAGGGTTTCTTCCTGGGAGCTGACATGGGGCTGTGGGAGCCACTGCAGCCTCAGCTCACCCCAGAGGTGTCAGGAGCTTCACAGCCCCTGAATCCTGGCAGGATTTCACCACAACGCCCTGCTCTGCCCACAGCCCATCAATCCCACCGGTGCTGCCTTCCTCTCCAGGGATTTAGAGCCAGGACGGCAGGGAGATGCACCTGGAGGCAGAGCAGAGTGACCTGAGCTCCGGGGGGACATCCCAGCTGTGCAGGGGTCAGCCAGGCTTTGATTTTCATCGCTTGGCTCTGCTTAGGCTGAGGTGGAGGTTTCAAATCCAGCAGGTTTGGGATGGACACGGAGCAGGCCATGAGCCAAAGGTGGCATCCAGGGGAGGCTGGGGAGCTCCTTGAAGGGAGCAAAGCACGGCAGGACCTGGGATGTCCCAGAGAAGAGCAGCCGTGGCACATGGGGCGCTCAGCTGGCACATGGGGCGCTCAGCTGGCACATGGGGTGCTCAGCTGGCACATGGGGAGCTCAGCTGACACATGGGGTGCCCAGCTGGCACATGGGGAGCTCAGCTGAGCAGCAGCAGCTCCTGCAGCTGGGCTGGGTTCGTGCCAGGTTTGGAGCTGGGGGAAGAGTCTCAGGTGCAGGATTTATCTGGGCAGGGGTGAAACATGGGGCAAGGACGGGGGGCAGGCCAGGAAAGGGGGGACAGTTAAAGGGGATGGTGCAAAGGGATCAGTGCAAGGAGAAGGGGGATGGAGCAGGGAAAAGGGGACGGTGCAGGTTAAAGGGGATGGAGCAGGTTAAAGGGCATGGAGCAAGGAGAGGGGACAGCACAAGGAGAGGGGACAGCTCAAGGAGGGGGGACAGCTCAAGGAAAGGGGACAGCTCAAGGAGGGGGGACAGCTCAAGGAAAGGGGACAGCTCAAGGAGGGGGGACAGCTCAAGGAAAGGGGGACAGCTCAAGGAAAGGGGACAGCTCAAGGAAAGGGGACAGTGCAAGGAGAGGGGACAGTGCAAGGAAAGGGGACAGCTCAAGGAGAAGGGGACAGCTCAAGGAAAGGGGACAGCTCAAGGAGGGGGGACAGCTCAAGGAGGGGGGACAGCTCAAGGAAAGGGGACAGCTCAAGGAGAGGGGGACAGCACAAGGAGAGGGGACAGTGCAAGGAGAGGGGGACAGTGCAAGGAGAGAGGACAGCTCAAGGAAAGGGGACAGCTCAAGGAGGGGGGACAGCTCAAGGAGAGAGGGACAGCTCAAGGAAAGGGGACAGCTCAAGGAAAGGGGACAGCTCAAGGAGAGGGGACAGCTCAAGGAAAGGGGACAGCTCAAGGAGAAGGGGACAGCTCAAGGAAAGGGGACAGCTCAAGGAGAGAGGGACAGCTCAAGGAGAGGGGACAGCTCAAGGAGGGGGGACAGCTCAAGGAAAGGGGACAGTGCAAGGAAAGGGGACAGCTCAAGGAGAGAGGGACAGCTAAAGGAGGGGGGACAGCTCAAGGAGAGAGGGACAGCACAAGGAGAAGGGGACAGCTAAAGGAGGGGGGACAGCTCAAGGAGAGAGGGACAGCACAAGGAGAAGGGGACAGCTCAAGGAGAGGGACAGCACAAGGAGAAGGGGACAGCTCAAGGAGGGGGGACCCGTGACGGAAGCTGCCCTTTGTCCCGGCCGCCGCAGGGATTAGCCGGCACACCTCAAAGAGCCCAAACTGCGCTCGTGTCTTCACGTGCCTGCCGGGAGGCCGGGCCGGGCCGGGTTTAAGGCGCTAATCTGGCACGCCGGTGCTCACTGCGCTCCCGGGGCCCTCGCAATCCCGCCCGGCCGGGGGCTGAGCCGATTGCGGTGCCGTTGTTCTCGGGACATCCCCCGGGAGCTGCGGGCTCCGGCCGGCTCCTCCCGGGAGCAGCGGGGGACCCGGCCCCGCTCCGGGGATGCTCCCGCAGGGTCTGCCCGGCTCTGCCCCCGCCCCGCGGGGAATGTCCGAGCCGGGGATGATTTAATTAAAACCGCTGGGCTTGCCCGGGTTTTTAAAATGTGCTTGTGTATGAGACGGATTAAATCACATTCCTCTGGCACCTCGGGATCTGAGCGGGAGGCTTTTGTCGCGGGGGAGGGGGTGATAACCCCGGGGGCTCAGGAGGGCTCCGTGCCCTCGGGCCAGCTGAGTCACAGCGAATTCCATCCCTGGTCCGCCTCCGGCAGCGACCGAGCCGCTCGCAGCTTCCTGGGCTGGGGAAGGGACAAAGCGGGACGGGACGGCTGCTGCGGCGGGATGGGGAGAGCCGAGCCCCCGGTCTGCCCCCGGTTTGGAGCTGGGGCCTCGCAGGAAAAGCGGGATTCATCCCGGCTGGCCCTGCCAGCCTGCGCAGGGGGCAGGAATGCAGGTTCCTTCCTCTCCGATCCTGCTGCCTGCAGCTCAGCCAGCTCCTGGCACACGGGATTGGGATCAAGGCTGGGCACTGCGGTTTGGCGTTGTGGAAAATAAGGGAGAGAGACCTTTGGGAAAGTCTCGAGCCGGATCGATCCGCTCGGGACAGAGCCTTGGTCCTCTCATCCCCCAGGAAATCCGTGTATAAAAGAGGAAGAATAAAGAAAGAATAAGAGCTGCGTGTCCTTGCTCACATCCCCCCACATCCCAAAGACCCTGCCAGTCTCTTCCCGACCCACGGCTCTCAGAAAGACGCCGCTTTTCACCTGTCCGCAAACCCCGAGGTGGCTTTCAGTGGCAGATAATTAAAAGGAAGTGAGAATTAAGCAGCTTTATTAAGGGGATAAAGGTTATCTGCCAAAGATGCGGCGCTGAGCCCTTCCCGGCCAATCTCCCGGCCCCAGGGACGAGCGGGGATGGGAGCAGGCTGGGCCGGGCCGGGCGCTCCCCAGGGACCGCTTGGGATGGGTGCGGGGCGCCGCCGAGGTGCGAACGGGGCTGGCTAAACGGGGTGCGACCGGCGTGGGCAGATCGGAGAGAACGGCGGAGCGGAGCGCCCGGGCTCCGGGGCGCCGCTCGGGGTGCCCCCCGTGCTGCCGGGATGGGTCCCGGTTAAAAGCGGGCAGCATCCCGCCGCGCACACGGCATTTGGGACCCCGCAGCCCCGCGCTGCGTCCCGGCTGCCGGCGGCACCCGGCGCGTCCCTCCCCGAGCCCGGAGCCCCGTTCCCGTTCCTTTTCCCCGGGATCAGCGTGTCCCGAGCCAGGCCCGGAGCCCCGTCCCCGTTCCCTTTCCCCGGGATCGGCGCGTCCCTCCCCGAGCCCGGAGCCCCGTTCCCGTTCCTTTTCCCCGGGATC